ACATACATGCATACATAATCAATACTGATGTTAGGAAGCGCAAGTAAAGATTCACCACATACCCCAGATTTTCTAAAACTATTTCTAATCAAAGGCAGGTGCATTAAAAATCTTTTCTATGTGACAATAACTTAAAAGCTAAATGATGGAAGTAGAGGATAGATGTGAATTTGTTGAAACCTGCTGTATGTCAGGAATTTGATAAATCTTATTTTATTTGCTCCTCATAAAACCCTGTAAGGAGTGTGTTACAGGAGACCAACAGGACATGGGTTCCAAATGATATAAAACTTCACATCTAAAAGGTACCATTGAAGTTTGAACTCAAGAATATCTGCCTTCTAAGGATTTGCTGTGTACCATGACAATACACTGACTCCTAAAGTAAAGAGTGTAAAAAGTGCTTCAAGCTCTTTATAAATATTATATAAAATATGGAGCAGTATTGATAATACACCTGACTGCAGAAATTAAAAAGAATTCCTTAATTCATTAGCAGTCAGTTGTTCATCTTACAGGTCCTTACAGTAATAATTAAATGCCCCTTGCTTTGTATTATGTGTGTTCAAACTGCTATTTTAAAAGATCTTTACTCAGCAGCCTTTTTGTCTTTTGTCATTTAACTTTTAATGACTACTAATATAGGCAGCCAAGGAAAACGCAGATGGTCCTGTGGAACACAAACCACAGCAACATGTGGGACACATTTTCCTAAGAAAGTGTGTTTCCTAACTTCTTGTCGCTCTACCATTTCTTTTGTTGTTGTTGTTTTGGTTTTCTCCCAGTACCGGGAATTGAACTCATGACCTTGAGCTTGCCAGGCAGGCGCTGTGCCGCTGAGCTAAATCTCTAGCCCCGCTCTACCATTTTTTTATAAGGCTATTCACTTCCCAGGAATGCTCAATTTTCAAAAAATGAGGCAACAGGCTTCACATGTGTTGTATGGCCATTCAGATGCACAGAAAGTATCTGAATGCCTTTAAGCAAGTGCATTTAGTACTTGCTTCCTGGCACTATCATGTATATTGATGAACTGTCTTCCTCTAGATGGTAAGCCCCTTGAGGGCAAGTGTCATGCCCAATATCTCACTTTATGAGCTGTGCCTGGCAGAGTAACAGTACTATCCATCAAGCATACAGTAATATATTACCTATAAATTGCTCTTGTAGGTAAGTCTCTTAGCTACATAGTAACATTCACCACATCCTTCTGATGAGACTTACTGAGGCTAAGCAATTAGCCAGAATCATAAACTTATAGGGAATGTTTTCCTCTTGCCCACAAAAATTTTCACTCCTTACATTGTGCTACTTTATTCTCTTCTAAGGTTTTCATTACAAACATCAATGCTTATTAGACTTTAAAAAATTATTTAGTGTTTAGTATACATGTGAAAGACATTGTTCTAAGGGATTTACAAATATTAACTCATTTGATCTTCCTCCCAATTCCATGAGACAGATATTTTTATCCCCGTTTACAGATAAGGAAACTAAGGCACAGAAAGATGAACTCATCCAAAATCACAGGGCTCACCAATGGTAGCAGTGAGGTTCTGGAACCATGAAGTGTAGTTCCAGAGTGTATACTCTTAACCACAGACTATTTTGCTTGAATAGGAGTTTACGAAGATCCTTGCTCAGGATATGTGTGAGTGGTTTGTTCAATAAAAAAAAGAAATGTACTTACTTCTCCCTGTGTGATTTATTTGATTACAGTTTAAAACCTTAGCTAGAACTCCATGTAAGTGCTATCCTAAATTTTCCAGTATTGAAGGCATATGTAATGGTTACCTTGACTGATGCATAAAATACCCAAAACAAAATACTCCAAGACTTAAGGGTTTTTGTTTTCTTTCATGAATTAGAGACATGAAAGGATTGCCTAGGCATCAGAAGTATTATATATTCACATCTGTAAGTCTTTCTTGGGGATTTTCATATTACTTATACCAGAATGTTTCCCAGTTTGAAATATTTCAGTGTTCACTCTATACCTGAGCTTGAAAATTATCTAATCCTTCTTAATCTTTTCATTTTCAACCACTTTTTCTTTAGGCTTAAGACAACTTATGCCCTACTTTCAATATAATGTTGAACAGTTTTATGTTTTTATTTCAGTTGCCCTGAAAACATGCCAGTAAACATCCAAACATATTGTAAGATTTAAAATTTTGGGTGTGTATACATACATAACAAGTTATGAATTATGTATATCCCAAGCCTATATAAATCATATTTTCAAGAACAAGCATCACAGTAGTTAGCCAGGTCATAATAAGACACTGCATGTAAAATGTAAAAATTACCTTGAATAAATTACCCCTAAGTTAACATTCTCATTAGACTGACATATTTATTATTTCTGGTTTTGTGATGGTTCTTTAATGCATGTCCACTAACTGTTCTAATGGCACATTAAGAGACCATTTCAGACCTTTCCCCTCCCTGGAATTTGCAGATTTTTATTTATGTTTGAGCTAAAATAATATGCTAAAAACAATCATCCACTTCCCAATGTAGAATACCATTTTCTTCTGCCCAGAAACATTTAATTAAAGCAGGATATAAGTTTAGTAATTATTTTTGCACAGAGTGACTCTAAAATTAATAGTCAATTGTAAGACTTTAAAAATTGGAAGACTGACAATCAAAACAATGTTAAATGCTTTGTTTATGTGATGAAAAGGAGTGATCCTTTAATACCCTGACACACATTAAACTGATTTCACAGACTTTCTGTACTGTGTTTAACATAGTCAAGCCCTTGAGGTTATGTAAAATAAATAATCTTGAGATCTTATTGCAAATGTTTGCAATTTATGATGTAAACTGATTTGGGAAGAAAGAACAGGATCCCATGTTGTTGAAGCCAAAAAGGCATTTTTCAGAAATCAAAATAGTTCCGAATTTGAGGACTGCATTATACTAAAGTATTACCATCTGAGGATCTAAAAAGTTATAAATCTGGGGGGAGACTCAGAATAGACGTATGTGGGTTCAGTTTGAAGCAAAGGCCTCCCATCTTACTGGGACTCTTGAATAATAAAGTCCTTAACACTAATCATGTCTTGAATAATCTCTTTTAACCCCAAGCACAGATTTTATACCGCCAGACTTTTACTCATTATTGAGTTTTGACCAGAACATTACGCTGTTCGGCCTTATTTAAAGTGGCCTTAAGACTCACTTCCTAAGACTCCTTCTCAGGATGGCCCAGGGAACGAGAGGTTTGGACCTTGAGGCTGGGCTGTGGTGATCTGGAAAGCAGGCTGTGCGCGAGCCAGTGTGGGAGCTTGGACGCTGAGGACCCGGACCTAGGGGTAGGGAAAGTGGCCACTGCCCTCCTGGAGTCTTGGGAAAGAAAGCAGGAAGAGATAAGGGAACTTTGGGGTACTCTGTAGTCTGGGTTCTGCAGACCTCGCCGGCTGCACAGCCAATCTGGCCCAGACGAGGCCTTTATCGCCGGACCAAGCTGTCCCCACAGCCCTTCGCCCACTGCACTCCCGCCAGCTCCACCTCGGGGACCCCGCCCGGCCGCCCCGCAGCCGACCCTTCCAGGCCGACCGAGGCGGGTGATCGCGGGCGCCCCCGCCAGCGGCACCTGGACGCTCCGCCTCCTGTGACCTGGGGCTTCCCCTGAGCTCCGCTGCGGGGCACTGAGTGAGCCCGGGTCGGAAACACCACCTCCCCTACCACGATCTCCTGCGGTGACCTCTGGCCTCCCTCCGGGGTCCCGGGAAACTGCGGAGCCCGCGCGGGGGCTGGGTTAGGCTGGGGGCTCGAAGCCTGCGGGTTCGCGCCCGAGCCTGGGCGCAGACGGAGCTCACCAGGGCGCATCATGCACCCAGAAAGATGTTCACCGTGCAACTACCCGCGTTCACCACCGGGAAACCCGCAAGGCCTGGCGCAGAATAGGGGAGCCGGGCAAGTTCTGCTGTTGGAAGTCTCAGGAAACCGAGAGACAGCAAAGAATCGCCCACGTCTAGGCTGAGGGGCAGCTTCGAACTCGGCCTTAGACCGGGGAGAAGGCTGGGTGACAGGGCAGGGAGCACTGCTGGCGGGGTCCCCACGTTCCCTCTGGTCTGGAGAGGCCGGCCTGGGACGCTTGGGACACCCCCAATCTTCACAGTGGTTCCCCGAATCCCAAGAGCCAGGGGCAGGACATCCGGCCTCAGGCCCGGCCAGGGCTGGGTCTTGAAGTCTTTTACCCATACCCTAAGAGGCAGCAGCTTCAAGCTTTAATAGTGGGGGCCTCCATGAGAAGGGGGCCTAAGCAACGGGAAATGGAGCCTCTCCGTAGTCTAAGAACGAATTAAAACCAGGCTTTTCCTTAATACTGTCCTGGCTTCTTCTTCCCTCTCCTAAACAGAACGAAGCTGCTTCCTGCTTCGGCCAAAGCTCTAGAGAGGTGGGGGATCGGTCCTCCACTGTGCCCCTGACCCCTCCGCGTGTCCTCCCGGATTCCCAAGCCAGCATTTGCCCGGCTCCGGGAGGCTGCTGATGGTGCCACACATACCGAACCAGATGGATTTCTTGTGATCCCTCTTTCCTTCCTGCTAAAATGTCCCCAAACGTCAAAGGTGAAAGCATAGCAAAATGAAGAACGAAGAGCTGCCTTGACGAAGGGGATTATTCTATATTATTCTACTTAGTATCTGTTCCCTTACTAAGTTGGTATAACCCAGTTTCTAACTGGGTGCAGGACGCGAGGAGATGAGGAAAGATGCGCTCAGCGCTAGAGCGCCCCAGAGCCTCCCTTTCCGCTGCCCCTTGACTGTGGCAGGTTGGAGTCCGGGCATCGCTTTCTAAACTCGTGTGTGTGTGTGTGTGTGTGTGTGTGTGTGTGTGTGT